AAGCTTTGCAAAAGAAGGAGTTGTTGCAGATACCTCTGATGCACGTCGTATGCAGTAATTCAGTCTAAGCATCATTTCAGAGGTTGTATCATTCCTCATATAAATGTGAGCATGGAGTTGGCTTGGATTATTTATTTATTTTCTATAGGGTTGTATTTTCATCAGGCATCTACATTTTTATGCAACCTGTGGCTACACAGATTTTTCACAATTATAATTTTAATGTAAGTTTATTGAGAGTAGTTATTTAAGAGAGTAGAATCGGAAGAGCAACATACAAGACTTTAGATGCAGGTTCTTCTGGTACCTGAGAACATACTGGCAGGTACCTGAGAAGATACTGGCAGACAATTTTTTAATGTATTTATTACCTGGGTGTCATCAGGACACAGCCTGTGGTTCCTCATTTCTATTCTGGAAAATGAGCTAGAATAGAGTGAAATAATGAACAGAAGTTTGTGCATCACACATGCAAGTGGAAATAGCATGCACGTGTCTGTGTCTGTGTGTTAGTGTGGCAGTATGAGTACAAGGTGACACCTGAATCCAATTTGAGAAAGGTTCCTCTGATGCATACAGGACCAGTTGTTAGGCTCAATTATCCCACCTTTGACAGTAGGGTTAATAACACATCCCTGACTCCTAGGCTTGCTGTGAAGAGAAATTCACTCACTGTTCTGAGAAGTGCAGGGTTTGGGTGAAGGGTTGGTAACAGGCAATTTGGCTGTGGTAAAAAATAAAATAAAATAAAATAAAATAAAATAAAATAAAATAAAATAAAATAAAATAAAATAAAATAAAATAAAATAAAATAAAATAAAATAAAATAAAATAAAATAAAAATATTATTTGCCAGAAAGCAGGAAATTGCATGTTGAGCCCCCATTGTCTTTCTGTCTAGTTGCTGTTCATTTGAGGGGTATAGACAAACAATGTCCCAGCTGGGGTGTGATGCCTGGCCCTTGGCCATGCCAAGATTAGATGCTGTAGGCAAACACGCAGTCAAACTCAAGGCAGCTGGGGAGAAACTCTCAAGGCAGCTTGATTTTTTTTTTGGTGTCAGATTAAATTCTGTCTCTACGATTTGTCCCCTCCATGCTTTGATTCCCAACCTGCAAAATGCTAATAGTATAAAATTGCTATCTCACAAGGAAGTTGTAAAGATAATTCACATTAGAGATGGTGAAATATTCAGAGGTCATAAATGGGTCTAAAATAAATATTATTTTGAACTGTGATCTGAATGTCTTTTGACTTTCCTTTTCAGTATGGTCCATGATGCTGAAGAAGGTTCTCACACCACCTTTGTTTCCAAGGAACAAGGTGCTTTACTTTCCTGTTTGTTTTCATTAGCATTTAAAATCAGCTTTGCAGTGTTTATTTGTGTGGCAACAGCAGTGAGAGGCCCCAGGTAACAGGAATGTTATCAAGTGTTAGCAATGTTATCAAATGTACATGATTTAACAGATAGGGCTTTGAGAATGAGCTCAAAAGGAAGGAAGGAATTAGCCATAGATCTATTGCTGTTGCGGTTTTAGAGGGGGGAGAATGATGGAAATAAAAGTAGCTGTTGCAGCAGAAGAGGGGAGTGGGGAACTCAAAAGTGGGTGTAGAAGGGGAAATCCAAGCCAGATTTCAGCCCAGTAAGTTTTGAAATAAACCCAAGAGCCAAAAAGGATGGAAACCGAGATTGAAAAGGGTGGAAGTGGATGTGGAGAGTGCTGGCGAGAGAGGCAGTACGACATGGGATGCTGCGATGACTTTACTGCAAATAGAAATGAAATGTAGATAAAGACCCATGAGTTAATTAATCTAGTTGACAGAAACGTCTTCCTAACGCACATCTGGTCAGTCACCTGTGGTTTGCAGCAGAAGGAGCTGCATGCAACCTGCGAAAACCTGGGGTCCTTCTGCAAAGAGTTGCATTTCCTAAAGCTGTTTGTTGGCAAAACTCACCTGTGGTTTCCATCTGCTTTTCAAGGTTCGTCACCAATTCCTTACGATATTATCATGGTGTCTCTCAGTGGCAGCCTGTTACTGTTGGTTGTGATCAGCATAGCAGTGAAAGTTCTCCTGAGGTGAGTGGCAGCAGGGGAGGACCGAAGGTCACCAAGGAAATGTGTGCAGTGAGGAATTCCTGCAGGAGCTGAGTATGATCAGAGGAGCCCATGGAAAGAGCGGGACAAAACCCAGTGCTTCTTGGGGTCCTCAGTTACACAAGCTTTTTCTCCATCAGCCCACGCAACAGAGTGCATTAATTGTGGCTAGAGAACTGCTGGGGAGCTTGTTTGGGTAATATTATTTTATGGAAACAACATTTGGTTTTGTTTTTTATCTGAACCAAATTCTTTGACCTCTCCCCAGATTTTACCTACGTATATTGAAAATTTGCGGAGGAAAATTAACAGACCCAAGCCCCTAATTTCTCGCTACTTACAAAATTTTAGTTTTTGAAGAACAACCAGAAGTCACAAGATAAGAGGCATTCCTTGAGATGTTTATTTCTGTAATGAGGAAATAGGCAATACATTTTGAGAAATCCCTTCAAACAAAAATTTTGTTCAGCTTTAGTTTGAATGCAGCTAGCCAAATGGAAAAGAGGATAAGCCCCTTTTCATGTTAAAGGATGAAAAGATAAGAGGCAGCGTAAAAGGACGCCTCCACAATTAATTAAATCAGCTCTATCACCACCACCCCAGCTATCAGTTCTGTACTGCTGTTAGCTATATCCTGTCATTAGTTGGATTGGCTTCAGATACTAATAGCTCTGCATGCTTATCTAACACCTAATGATGCGTTTCGTTCCATTTCTGTCGCACCAGGCACTGCACCTCACATCATTCCTCCAAAGATCTCGGTGCACCTACAGTGGTCCTGGAAAATACTGCAGTAACGAACATCTCTGATAAGATTTCAACAGTGGATTTGACCGGCCCGGTGTGTGTAAGTTACATTTCTGAGAGGCACACTGTGTCCACAGAGTGTGCCAACCCTGAAGAGACAATTTCCATTTTTGAGTTACCGTTCTTCTCCTTCTCTGTCTCGATAACACCCCCGAATTCACCACCAGAGCAGTGACGGCCCTCAGCTTCTCTCGTCAGCAGCTTTCTTCTGGAGAGAAAAGTGCACGAAGAGCTTAGGGGTGTGTGATGGACGGATGTGCCCCACTTCCCTTCCAACACCATAGCTTTGGACTGTGAACTCACCAGTACCACACCAGTATTAGAAAAAGGAGGAAACGGGGATTTTTTTCTGGAAGTGGAGAACAAGTGTAGATACATGTATTTTATCTCTGTGGTGTGGTGTGTTAAAAATTGACTGTAGATATGGACAAACATCTCTCCATATTATCACCTTCTGTGGAATGACTCATGAGAAAAAAACGCGGGGGGGATTTCTGGTAATTTTTATAAAGATTTCCCAGTCCTTCTGACTCACACACAAATCTCACACACATTATGCTGAGACCTAACCTTTTGCACTTGGTTTCCGACTAAGCTGTGTGACTCTGTGGCTGCACCGATGTTATTGGACAGATTGCAATCGGCAAGTCACCAGGTCCGTGATTTTTTTTATCTGCCCACCTTTACAGTCTGAAGGAAGATACCGTCTATTAATTTTTAAACTGAGAGCTGAAACACCAATGACCTCTGCCTCCAGCGTGACATTTGCTTGCTAAGGAACGAGCTTGGTTATTCTCCCCCTTCGGGTGGCAGTTGTAAGGGACAGATTAGCCTGAGATCTGGCATGGAGAGGGATAGGTGTGTTCCCTGGCCCCAGCCAGTGTATGCCAACTTCATGCCCTTTGCTGCTAGGAACACCACAAGAGTGTAGGGTATATAAATTTCCATTTATCTTAATGACTTCCTTGGCCTGGCCCCAGCACGTTTTCCATACAAATGGATGGAAAGCCAAAGGAAGCAAGAGAAAAGCCCTTTGGCCAATGGGTATCCCTCCAAAAGGGGTTTCGCACGATTCTCTCCTCCTCTGTGCTCACACGTCAGACCACTGGGAGTATCTGCAGGACCATCGAGGCACGAAGGGTTGCCAACAGGTTGGCAGGGCGATTGGCATCAATGCCTTAGATAATGTCTTTAGCTAACCTCGGTGGAAGTAATGCTCCTAGGACCCATGTTTTCAAACGAAAGACCTGAGCTCTGCAAAATACATGAGCAGGAGGGCTACATGGAGTTCCTCCTCTTCCAGGCTTGCAGCTTCCAGTCTGTGCCATTTTGGTCCCCCTCTTCCCATACCTGCATTTAGCGAGCTGCTCCTGCCTTCCCACAGCCCATAGGCACCCCTCCTCTTTGCCTCTCTCATTAATACTCCAGCACTTTCTCCGTGCCACTCACAGCACACAGACAAAATCCACCCCCACCTTGTCAAAATTCATGAAGCAGTTTCCTCATCCTCCTGTAAATCCCTCCTTAAAACCCGCCGCTGCCTCAACGCCTGCAAATCCTCCTGCCTGTAACCGGCAAGGCAGATCTAAGCAAAGACTTCCAATTCTCTAGCAAAGTCCATTTGTTGTCTTGCTGCCCTACGCCCCAGCTCCCCGTGTCAGGCAGTGATAGCCACGGTGTTCCAGCTGATGTCTGGGCTGGAAAACCCCTGTGCATGTCATCTATGACAAATCTATATGGCACTGAGCGCCACAGAGCCTTGGATCTGGCCTGGTGGATTCCAGCATGAATGCAACGCAAATAGTGCCTGGGATGATGATGCTGATACTAATAAAACAACATAACGTGTGTGTATGCAGTAGACGACAAATGGCATTTAAAGATTGTTATGGTTAAGGAGCCAAGCACGACAAGCTTAGGAAATGGCACCAATAAATTTATGTGCAAGTTGTGAATTTTGTATTTATTCTTCCTTTGTTCTTCAATCTTCAGGCAGTCTTTTTTGTACATGAAGCTGTGTTACATCCTCCCAAAGTTTAATTGTTAGGAAAGCTGGCAGTCTTGTGTTTGAAGGGGACTGCTATTCACTTTCCAAATAAACAAAGAAGGGCAGAGATGACACTGCACAGCGCATTTCAAGTAACGGGCAAGACAATGAACTTCACTCTGTGCAGCTGCTGAAGGGTATGAACAAAACACTGCGCAAAGTCTCACTGCATTGCCAGCCTTGGTGGGTAAAACAAACAACTATACATTAAATCATCTGAGTATTCAGTTTGTGCTTACAAGAGATGTGTTACATCTGTAGAAGGCATCATTAACCTTTGCAGCAGTGTAGTAGTACAGTAGGTGTGATGACTAACAGATGACAAAGGCTATAGTTTAACTGCAAAACAGCAAAGGGATTTATTTATAGAACCACAGAAGCAAAATGTTTTCACACATACAGAATTTTTCAATTAATGGAGCTACTCACTGGGCACGTAGTAGGTGGGTGTGAGGACCCAGCTCCTCGATTCAACATCTGCTCCCCAACAAGGGGCTACCACAGCATAGCAGGGATCCTTCTGGGCTCAGAGAATGAACACGCAGAGTTTGTTCATCTTCAAACCATGGGGTAATACTAGGCCCATGGGCAAGGCTAGTCCAGGCACATACATTCATTGGAAACCACTTGGTACAAAACACCAACCATCAGAGGCTCACGCTGTGCTTCTGGTCAGGGTCTTTCCACTGGCAATTGCAGAGGTCAAAGCAGGTGAAAAGGGTTGCCACCAGCTAAATACATTTCTTCACTTTCAGCTTCAGATTGCTTGTGCCAATTTCCAGCATTTCCAGTGTCACTCAGGAATATCTTTATTGATATGCTGGAGGGGCTTTGAGCAACCTGATCTAGTGGAAGGTGTCCCTGCCCATGGGAGGGGATTGTAACTGAGTGATCTTCAAGGTCCCTTCCAACCCAAACCATTCTGTGACTCTGTGATACGTCTATGTCTGTATATGTAATAATCTAGAGGAGGAAATGGTCAAAACTACTCCAGAAGTTAAACAGAAAATGGTGTCATGTGAGGCAAAAGATTTAGGGATTTAAATTGTGAGAGGACCTCCTTTGACCTGGTATGTGCTCACCAGGAATAAACTACCCTAGTCCCAAAAGCCTGCATACAAAAGCTTCAGTTGCACTAACTGTGGAGGTGATGAGGATGGTTGGGCCCAAGGGGCTGTGCTCTGTTTGATGATAACGAACAATAAACTGAGGAGGGAAAATGTAAAAGAATGAAAAAAGCGAGGTGCTCATAATACTTGCCTAAACTGTAATCCTTTGGCATCTGTAAGGTGGTTTAAAACTCTCCTTTATGGTGATTGACTGCACTCTGCAGGTGACACTGGAGGAATTTACTGCAATGAAACATAACACCTTAATGAGGAAAAAAAAAAAAAAAGCGCTTTCTTTAATGCAAGCAACTTTGTCTGGTTTTCCCTTCAACCACATAGCATGATGATTCAGAGATAAGACTCATGTGGTTGTTAAGTTGCCGTGATGGATTTTAGAAAGGGGAAAATCATGTCAAGTTTATGTAAGCTTTATAGCAGCTGCTCTTCGGGAATACATCTTAATTATGGGTAAAAATACTTAGCCATAACTTGTATACTTATTTTAAAAACCTCATTTTTTTCAGTACCGTAATTCTAAACATTAGCTGTTCACTGAGGTTAGCATTTATGTATAGGCTGGATACTGTAAGCCCAGGAAGTGCTACTTGATGATGGTGGTTATTAGACATGCCTGCTAGTGACCCCTCATATTAATCTGTATTTCATTATAGAATTACTGCCACAAAGCTCTAAGCTCTGTCTGAGAACAAAAGGAAGTTCCATTTGTGAGACCATTATATTCCAGCACCCACAGCTTCTCAAAAAATAGTAATGACCTTTAGGATGAAATCTTTTCGGCCCAATATTGACTTTCTGTGGGTGTGTAGGGTTTGGTAAATCAAGATCAGCCTTTTCTGTTATTTAGAGACACATGGGAAAATATAATTTGAATTATTAAAAAAGCTTTTAGCAAACTTTGCGGGCCTTTGGCTATCTAAAAATGGCTCATTTTTAAAATGCTAAACTGATAGGTTTTGTAAGGCTTACAGGTATACCAAATTTAAAAACCTAGACGAGAAATAAAGCAGGCATGCTGGAACTCCTGGGCTTGTAATTCAGTGTTTACGTATGCCATCATCCTGGATATTCACACTACCTGTTGATATATATGAAGACAAGCATACACTTAAGTGTTTACAGAACCAGAGTCAAAATTTAGAAACATTTTGAGCTTTTGCTCAACAGAACACTTCAGCATTTGTTTACATAATACTGATTTCACTGAAAGTGCAAGAGACTTTGTGCACTTTCCTCTACATTCCTTTTTGGGTCTGAAATGACAAATATATTTGACCAGATGACAAAACTCTGTGAAATGTGCTTGATTGTCATTCTCTGTTCTATCTCCCTTGTGTAATACTGGTAATTTTCAGGAGTAAATTAGTAACAAATCCTGCTGTGGCTGTGATCATTGGGTGCTCTCTTGCTTCCAGTTCCACCAGTTAAAAAGTAATGTAAACTAGTAGCCATGGATATTTAGATGCGGAAAACCACATTTTGTGTGGCATTTTAGGAAGGAAGGCTGGGGTGTGTGTTTCTTTGTGGCTATCTCACATGTCATCTGATTGTCTCTTGATCTGACGGTCCTGATGCTTGCCTGCTGCAGCCTCGTCTTGCTTGGTGCTCATCATGAAGTGGACCTGACTGAGGCATAAAAGCCATCAGGCATCAAGAGTGAATAATCATGCATAGTGCATGATTATGGAGAGAGAATATTATGATGATTATGCAGACTACCCCACCAGCCAATCAGACTAGAAGCTAAAAGTAAAAAGTGTGCATTTATGCACTCAGAGCTCCACTTATTATTTTGTTCTTTGCCTGCAGACACACCCCAAGGCCCTGACCCACATGGTATAAAATACACCTGCTTTATTTTGGGTCCTGTTACCAATCCTGGCTGCTGCGGCTGCTGCACTTTGGGTAACCAACAACTTGGATCCGAGCTGAATACAAAACCTTTTATTGACATGTATTGGAAAAGCACAGGGAGAGAAACAAACAAACAAACAAAGAAACTAAAAGGGGGGAAACAGACATTGTCAGTGAAATTGAACAGAAAATACCACTGTAACAATTCTACACATTAAGTGTTTTAAATTTTTAAGCGATCCTACACCATTAGGTGTAGACACGAAGTTTAAGTCAGTGTTAAGTCAGAGGTTGGACTAGGTGATCTTGGAGGTCTCTTCCAACCTAGGTGATTCTGTGTTTCTGTGGAACTGGGGTTGTTTGATCTGGAGGAGGCTCAGGGGAGACCTCACTGATCTCTACCACTGGCTGAAGGGAAGGTGTGGGGAGCTGGGGTCGGCCTCTTCTCCCAGGTAACTAGCGATAGGACCAGAGGGAATGGCCTCAAGTTGTGCCAGGTTAGAAATGAGGAGACATTTCTGTCAGAAAGTGTGGATAGGTACAGGAACGGGTTGCCCAAGGGAGGTGGTGGGGTCACCGTCCCTGGGGATGTTCAAGAGAAGGTTGGACGTGGTGCTTGGGGACACGGTTCCGTGGTGATATTGGTGATAGAGGGAAGATCGGACCAGATGATCTTGCAGCGCTGTCCCAACCCCAACTCCTCCATCACTCCCTCAGGCAGCACCACGACGCCCGTCCCGCCCCCATCCCTCCAGCAGCCTCCATGGCAACGGCGGGGCGCGGCCGCCATTTTGTGCCCGCCCCAGCGGGGCCGTCCCGTCCCGCCCCTCCCCGCCCCGCCACGTCCCGCTCGGCCGCCGGCCCCTTCCCTTCCCTTCCCTCCCTTTCGCTTCCCTTCCCTCCCTCCGTCCCCGCGGCGGGGCCATGGCGTTCACGCTGTACTCGCTGCTTCAGGCCGGGCTGCTGGTGGTCAACGCCATCGCCGTGCTGCATGAGGAGCGCTTCCTCCGCAACGGTGAGCCGCCGCCGACACCCCCGCGCCCCAGCCCCCGCCCTTCCCCGGCCCCCGAAGATGGCCGCCGGGCTGCTGTCAGCAGCTTTGTGGCCCTTTTTATTCGCCTTTTTTTGTTTTTTCTAACTCACCTTCTCCTCTGTGTGTGCATGTGGTGGTGTTTCTGTCTCGCACCGCTCGGTGGAAGGGACCTCTGCGGAGTCACGCTCTGCTGAGCTCAAGGCTGGGCATCGCCGGCCTTTAAAATAAAATAAAATAAAATAAACACCCAAAAGCAAAAATAAAACAACCCACAGAAGCCAACCACAAAGCACAGAAGAACCCCAGACTGCCAGGAAGATGTGCAGAGTCCCAGGAAATGACCTGGCATGGATTGACTTGCCACACAGAGCGAGGGAGACAGGAAAGGAAAAAGGGGTGAAAAGCAAGGAAATTGCCCCAAAGCTGTCTCTGGACGAAAGAAACTCACAGGTTGTGCCTTGCAGCTCCACACAGGGTCGGTCCCTCCTGTCTCTGCCCTGCTCATCCCCAAATGTGTAAGGGCTGTGAGCAGTGAGACAAAAAATACGTGGTCCCATAGCTGCTGGGGGGGGCAGGGCCATGTTTTCCTCGTATCCCCACAGTCTTGGCTTCTCACACCCTCCTGTTTTTGTGTTTTCCACTTTGTTGGTGTGGCAGCATTTCTTACCAAAGTATGAAGAGTACCTTACTGCTTGCTTTCTTTACGCAGAGAATGCAAAATGGTCCTGCAGGCAGTCTGCACAATTTATAGAAAGCCATTTTAAAGCTTCTGATGTTTTCTTAGTGACGTCCTGACACTGTGTTTGCCTTTAAACATCACTACACACTGAGCAAAGCCATTTCAAGCAGTTTGCAGTGGCACACAGCTGTGCTGCTCTTTGGCAGGCAGGCCAGCCACAGATAGCATGTCTCTAAATGCTCCTTCCCATTGCAATGTTTGTTAACGCTGTCTTGGTCACTGAGCTGCCACCCAAAAAGTTCTTGAGTCACTTCTGTAGCAGTTCAGAAAATCATCGTCCCAGTTTGAAATTTGTTCTGTTTCCATCGCATAGCTTGTTTCTGAGGCGTCGCTTTGTACCCAGCAATTATTTGTGCTTTTATCTTCTGGGAAAGGCCTGTGAGCAGATGCAGGCAATTTTTTTACATTATTTTGGTGGATGCTTTTCTGAAGTTCAAATAAACTCATTTGGTTCTCTGGCATGCAGGGAATAATAGAGTATTAAAAAGGTAAGGGTTTCCTTTGCAGAAACATTGGTTACTGTTGCGTTCATTAAGATGTTTAACAGTTTGTGGTATGTTGTTTCAAGCAATAGAACCTGAACTGAAGCTAATTGGTTTGTACTTTGTCTTCTAATGTTAGTGATAAACTCAACCATACCCGGGATAGATCACTTGTTAATATTGCTGATAGCGTTTGTTGAATGGCTTCGTGTTTTTTTTTGTTAACATGGCTGCCTATTTTTATGTGACACAGTTGGCTGGGCGAGTGATCAAGGGATTGGAGGATTTGGAGAGGAACCAGGAATTAAAGCACAGATAATGAACCTCATTCGATCTGTACGAACTGTTATGAGAGGTAAGATGATGCTGATCGTTTGTTTAAACTTGTCTGTGAAGTTTTGTTTCTGTGCTTTAGTGAAATAATGCCGGCATGTTGCTTTCTTTTACCAAACAGCTGCTTGTCATGCAGTCTGTCCTTTTGGGTTCCTTCCATCCTTGGTGCATGGATTCCCTATAGGAAGGGATTTCCAGGCAGGGCAGATCTGGACATCTGACTCTGGCTTGTGGTGCCGCTGTTGCATCTTACCTTTTCTGGGATTTTGGGAGCTGGGGGGAAGCTTGGTTTGGAATGGGTTCACACTGGCTCAGTGCAGTTTTATGTGAAGTACCAGGTGAGGGGAATGTAGTTATTGGGATTCTTAAAGGTAAGCCCATGCTTGAAAGGGTGGGGGAGGGAAATGCTCTTCATTTGTAAGCTACCAGTAGTTTTTCACTATAAAGCATACCAAAATTCATCTAAGTGAAGACAAACAAGTAACAAATCTTACTTGTCTTGCTCACTATGAAGTAAAAATTGCTATGTTTCTTCTAAATTATAGTAAAACCAGGGACAGAAATAGACATTTTCATTTGGAGAAAGGGATGTTTGGGTCAAAGTTAAGGGGCGATCAATATTAGTACTGTTGCTTCCTACTAATTTTTAGTACCTTAGGCCTTGATCCCAATTCCTTCCACTGATCTTGATTCTGCATAGGAAAATCAGGTGTTTTTTTTTAAAAAAAACTTCTGCTCCTGAGAAGGTAGTCTCCAATTACTCTTGTTTTTTTTCTGCAGTGCCATTAATAGCAGTGAACTCCGTTACCATCGTGCTCCTCCTATTGTTTGGTTGAAGAAACCTGTCACAAAATCTTTTGGACATCCAAAGAAGCAAGTTGCTAGCCATCATTGCTCTGAGTTTTCTGGGATCCAGCACGGTTTAGCTGTCAGTTTGACATTCAACTTAAAATAATAAAGACTGTTTCTATTTATCCTATTTCCTAATGTTCACTTTCCGTTTCATTAAACAAGATAATGGGATCAATGCAACAATGCTGCAAATATACTGGACTGTGACACTTTCTGTTGCTGCCTGTTAATCACATTGACTGTTAGAGTATGCGTCGTAACATGTTGCAATGTGTATCAACAGGATGCGGTTTTTAAATGTCTTGTTACTCAGGGATGAATTTCCTTCAATATACTTCCCAACTTATTCCTAAATTGAAAAAAAATACCGTATTTTTTATTTCAGTTACTACCACAGTATTATTTAAGGGAATATGGATTACACTCCAAACATGTTAAAAATTATTGAAGTCTTGTGATAACGAGGGAGATAAAACCAGATGGGTAAATTTCTAGTTTGATTCAAACTGGAAGCAGAGTGTTCCTCGTTTGATTGAGACCAGGATTTTTCTCTTGGTGTTCAATAGCCTTTTCAAATCAGTAACATTTGGTGTGAAGTAGATGAAAATAGGTGTGCCTGCTATGCAAAATCAAAAAATTTGTATGTAAACCGGAGCAACTCTGTGTTTATTTAGCAGGTGGTAGTAGTGTTTAGCATTTGTTGCTGTTCTGTCAAGCATTGTCATTTTTTTTTTCCTAAATGTGTTAATCCTGCGTGGTGACTAATATGGTGGAAGTGGGGAGCTGTTCATATTCTGAGTTTCTTCTGTAACATGGGAGAATAATGTTTCCTTTCAAATGCAATTCTTTGTTAAAAAAAAAAAAAGTCAAATTTGCAGACTCGTCAGTTGCTGCTGCTACTTCTCCCCCTCTCCATCTGCCTTTGTTCATTTAACAACTCACTGAAACTATGGATATCATCTTGCAGTTCTCTCACAGAGAATATTGTTAATGCCTTTGGTAAGGATCTTGCCTCAGTTATGGCTGCTGGGTCAGGTCCTGTGTTAAATAGCAAGGCTGGATTTAAGATTACCGATCCTCAGATATCTTCTTAGAAAAGTTAGACTTCCTATGACTTTTCTGTTCAACTATGCTAAAGTGTCTTAAATTGTTTTAGCTATTTTTTAAAGTGGGGAAGGCCGACAGAAACCTGTCAGTTTCATTATTTTAAAACAGCTTAGTTTATCATCTCTTCTTCTGATGTCTTGATGGCTAAAGCGTACATTGTTGTGTACAAAGATAAATCTGTAAAATGTGTAAATTAATTTAATGATCTCCAATTCCAGTGTTTTGCAGAGCAGACTATATCCAGGAGGAGAGTTTATGTTTCCTTTTTTTAGTGAAAACCTGTAAATAAATTTTGAATTTCTAAGTTGAGCACTCTCTTTCATAATTCGCTTCATATCCATGTACAGTGGAAACACCTCAGAACTCAGACTGCTCCAGGTACCAAAGTTACTGTTCTTACATGAAATACTCTGCTTTTTTGTTACCACCATGGTGCTTGCTCATACCAGCTCTGCTATGAAGTTGTGTTTGGGTCTGATGTAGCAAAGCCAATGAGCCAGGACAACCGGCCAGAGGCAGAACAGGATCATGCTAGGTTCTAGAGCAGGTAGATGCGTTACAAAGTATTCCTTAGAGTAATCTTTGTTTAATTCAGAGCTGACTAGGGTATGTATAGTCTGGATCATATATTTTCATACATATGTCTTCTTTCATGTTAACTGGAGAGTACTTACATGGAACAGATAAAACGTGGATAACCAGAGTTTGAGTTGTGCTGTGCTGCACTTTGATCTGTGATGCTTTGGCTACTGATTGCTGAAGGTGTGTTGGCCAGCGGTATAAAAGCAGCGGAAGATTTATTTATTGCTGATGTGTTGGGTTGGAGCATTGACCTGGTCTGAAGCACTGCCTGCACATCGTTTCCTCTTCATCTGTTTTGATTAAAAACACCAGTTCTTATGAAAATACAAGCTGGCGCTAAAGACTACAAGCAGCAACTCTGAAGATGGGTAAAATCTGATTTCCCCCTTCCTCCTGTCCTCTCGGAAAGGCTGAGGTCTCAACACATGCCTTACAGCCCAGGGAGCATTTCAAAATCGATTTGATGAGTGCAGTAGAGAGGCACAGTAGTTCTGTGCAGCACAAATCCTTCAGCTGAGGCAAAACTGGGACAGTTTTACCTGCCAGCTGCAAAACAGCGATGCAAAGTGGGACGGCAGCTGGAAATCAGGTCTCCAGGTAATGAGCAGGGAAGAGGGCAAGAAGGTAGACAGCAAACAGGCAGAGAAAGGACTGGAGAGAGAAAGAGCAGGGGAGTAACTACACTGCCTTTTTGTGTGGCTTTGAGCTGTTCTGAAGTGCCTGCTGTAACAGAAGTTTAAATTAGGCAAAGCACTTCCTCACCTTTTTTATTTTTCCTTTTTATTTGCCTCCTACTTGCAATATCTGCGTTTTCTACCCCTAACAGGTGACTGTGCTGTAGCTGCCCTCAAACCTGGCCAGGGCTCAGGTTCTTCACTACCATGAACGTGGAGGAAAGTTTCTACCTGGCAAGGAGCTGTGCCTGCGAAGCAACCTGCACTCCAGTAGTCACTTCAAAGCCGCTTCAAAGCACAAAGAGCATTCTCACTAGTACCTGGCACAGAACTGACAGTAACCAGAACAGAGCAGGATGAAGACTGTGACTTCCCACCATAGAGTAATTGCCAGATCGTTTCTAGGAAGCGTTTGGAAACAGAAGAGGCTTTCACAGCAGCAAAGCGCAGTTTGGTGGCTCCTAGCACGGCTGGCTGGAGTTAAAATGAACCTCAGGGGACTCGTCTGAGCCTTTAGTGCAACTTCAAGCAGTGATAATGGACCGGGCCTGTGTGCCTGTATAGTTTAATTAAAGGTTTTGGAGGGCATGGTAATAGGTGAAGGGAAGGGTAGGAAAGCGATGGGTTTGGATGCTCACAAAGGAGTCTCACGTTCAGTTTGTCTACAACATCCTACCTTACACTGCAGTGTTGTGATTTCAGTCGTCGCATGGGTTTTGCTGTACAACCGGCATGCAAAACTCTGACCATAAATCACATAATTCACCGCTATGCCCTCACCCCTTAGGAAATCCTACTCGCATCACCACACACAGCTTCAAATGTGGCTGCACGAAACCTAAGT